AGATGCCATGATTGCCATCAATTGTAAGATGCACTCTGATTTCAGAGATATTTTAAGTGTTAGCTGGGGTCATATTATGGAAGGTCTTGAAAATCAGATAAGAAAGGCGTATGGTAAGGAATGGGGAGTCTTTCTGAGCAGGGGTGCAATATTATGCTTTACAAAGACTGCTCTAGTTGCTGTGGTGAGGCCAAGAGAGGATACATTATGCCAGAGCTACTGCATTAGTACAGGACTGAGGGAACTAGAGGGGTGGTAGTGGGAATGAAAAGACCCAGACACAAGAGTTATTTCCAAGGAAAAATCAAGTGAGTCAACCACAGAGACAAGGTGTGTGAGAGAGGAAAGATAGATTCCAGATGGGAATGAGGAAGAACATGCAATGCCTTTCTTATTTTCTTCCCAACTTTTTATGTTTTCTTGTTTGCATATTTTTCCTTTCTTGATTCTTTCTAGATGGTAGAGTTTTTATTATTTTTTTTCTCTCCTACTTAGTGATTTTAAAGTTTCCAATTCCCATGTTTATGGTTACCTTTGTTAATGGTTGTCCTTACATATTTAAGCCTACATTTTTATATTAACATAAAAAATTAACAGCTACTCATTCAAAAACAATATGAAATATTTAGCTGCGTTTTCTCTCCTCATCCTCATCCTCATCCTCCATCCTCATCCTCATCTCATCCTCCATCCTCATCCTCATCCTCATCCTCCATCCTCATCCTCATCTCATCCTCCATCCTCATCCTCATCTTCATCTTCATCCTCATCCTCACCCCCCCCCCTTCCAGGCCTTGTTGGTATTCTCACATTTGGAATTTTATTTGGGGACTAGAGTCAGGCACATTTTAGTCATGAGTGATATTTGATTATGCAAAATACTCCTCCAAAATACGATCCACTTCAAAATATATTAAAACTCAACGGAAAATTCTACCCCCAGGCCTGCAATGAATTTCAGTTTATGGTCTATGTTAAGCTGCTTCCTAATAATTCTCAACTACCTTTAAATTGTTTTAATTTTCAAAACTGCTGTAATTCCTGTTTCCCTAACTTTTATTTTAGCTTACTGTTCTTAAAAGTGTTCATGACTGAATTAGCATATTTCCTATTCTTATGCTAGGTTGCATGTTTCTAGAATAAAGTACACATTTTTTAGTTGCTGCACCTTAAAGAAATCATGAGAGATATTCAGGAGAATCTGGGATGGGGAGCTGCTAGGAGTGGCTCTATCAGCATGACTCACTGATTGGTCTTGTTCCTGGGAGTAGCCATTGCAAAGGTAAATAAAATGTTTGAAGAGAAAGGGCTTCTGCTGAGTAGGGACCAACAAAAATGATTAAGGGTCTTAAATTTGGGAAAGCAATGACTTAGGAGGCATAATGTTAAGGCTTTTAAAATCAAGCAGCAAACTTCAGGTGAATGTCCTGATAGACCCCTTACACCAATGTTAACTTTTAAGAAATAAATGTAGAGAACAAAATGAAAGCTGTTGAGTTTCACAATGGACAGTTTGCTAGATACCTTGTTTTACCTGTTCAGATTTAATTTTTATGCTTCTCTGCCCTGCCCTGGGAGGCTGACCTAGATGGACTGCATTGACAAACTCCCTTACCCTTCGGGTAGAGTTGGGTTTGGCAAATGAGGTGGTGGTGAGAGGCACTGTGGCAGGAGGTTGGAAGATGGAAAAGATGAGGTTGGGGTATTTACTCCCAGCTTCCTCTCTACCACGGTGTGCAGGGTTGGCTGAGTCTACCAACTGAAGGCTCCTGCTCTTGTCAGACAGCTCTCTCCATGCCCTTTCTGGGTTCTGGGAAACCCATCTTTCCTTTCTCACTTTAGACTTATGGGCAGTAACAGTTCCCCATTGTTACTAATCCCAGATATGGTGTTATCCTTGCTGATTTCTGTGAACCCTGCTTATACCTTGTAAATAGTGCCTTTATTAACTATCCTCAATTACTTACATGGAGTATGCTATCCTTTCCAGACTCACACTGGACCCTGACTGGCACATTAATGCACCTAGAGACCCCTATACCTAAAAATTAGTAAAGGTAGAAAATATAAATGTAAAAAGGTGACCACAGATAAAAAAGACTAACCCTAATTTTGGGAACTAGGCCAACATTACACCATTTTGAAATTGTATTATGGGGCCAAGGGGCATCTGCTGGGCTAAATGGTTGAGGGGATATAGGCCTTTTCTTTAGAGAATGGATGTTCCCACCATCAACCATCTTGGAAAGGGGATAATCCCCATGTAGAAAATAAATGGAAACTATGGACTATGGAAGGAGGAGCTTCTACCTCTCTCTGGATTAGGGATCCATTTGGTCCTGGACTTTGAGGTATGGAGAGGCATTGAGCAGGCTCATGCTGGTGGCGAGTTCTGCCCAGGGAAGCAGCAACATCAAGCTTCTGTTTTTGTTAGGAATGGCAGAAGAGACAACAGAAGCTCAGAGAGGGAAACAACCAGCATTTGAGGTCCTGGGGTAAGGAACCCTAGCCTGGAAAGACATTGTATCTGCATTCTAGCCCCAAGAAAAAGCAGGAAGCATTATTAGGGTGTTGTCTTTGGACCAAGGGAAAAAGTTTCTTTCCTGAAGCTGAAGTGGAGTAACAGTGGACATCAATGGAGAGAACAGAGCTCATGATAGCAGAACTTTTCTGAAGGTCAAAGTAGTGAGATAAAAAGGCCAGAGGGGGATGCATGGGAATGCTCTCTTTTAGAGCTTTATCTATAAGGTAGTACAAATAAAGTTTCAGATATAGTTGAGAGTCCTTTGAGAGAAGCGACTCCAGCAAGGAGGCTGGTAGGAGAGAAATCTTTCATAATTTTGGTATAAAATGGAAGGATACTTTCCATTATAGTCACAGACTGGAAAGCTGAGAATAGATGAGTTACAGAAATAACTTTTACAGGGTCAAGTAAATCCTATGTCTAGCGGATTGATAGTAAGTTTACTGATAGAAGCTGAAACACATCCTGACCTTTAGAGATTGATACTGGAGAAACCAGGCTTCCCTTTCACAAAACTCCCTTGGTACTTCCGCTGGGGTTAGAATACAGGATTAGGTGAGTATGGCAACATTTATAGATTTTTGTTTTCATTGAGGTCCTGCAATTCATTTTCCTTGTACTGGAGACAGGAATAGTTCTTGGACTTTTCATAAGGTTGATGTGATGCCCTGATTCCTATTTTGGTTTAATGAAACTTGGAATCTCATTAGGAGCCAAAGCAACTCTCATTAGTCATATGAGCCTTGCACGTTTACCAAGAACTTGCCCTCCACTCTGGCAAGAAAGAAGGGCCTTGTGTGCCAGCTGAAACTATATCACCTGACTATATCTAATATAATGTGGAGGCTGGGCTAAGTTTATGTAAGCAGTCACGCAAGCATCATTCTAAAAATATTGCTGTGAGTTATTAACTCGAATAAGATGCATTTCTCGAGATTTTAAAAAAATATATCAGGAGTAGCTTAATATATTAAGAGTTTTATAACAGCTGAAGAAGATAAATTAATGAGAGAATATTGACTCTCATACAAAGAATAATTTCTTCTGTTCTTAGAAAATGTTAATCAAACTTTAGGGGTCTAATTAGCTCAAAATGATAACCTGAGACTGACTGGAACTTAAGGTTCTAACATAAATTCTTCTATGAACCAAATCCTGAATACAGATGAAGCCTGACGTGTCAGGCTCCCTCCTGCTTGCTACCACCAATGATGTATGACTGGGTTCAAAAATTCCACTTCAGGGACATTTTGTTTCTCCACAGACATAATCATTACTCCCTTCTCAGGAATTTGTGAGCCCGCCTCAAGGAGAAGTCTTTTTCCGCATGAGGAAGGAGATCCACTCAGTTTGTTCTCCCTAATCTGTTCCTCTGCCATCTGACCAACGAGTACTTCTGCAGAGCTCCAAACTGTCATAACTCTCTGTCCTCTTTTGACCTTTCTACTTAGCCCCAAAGAGCATGTGACTCAGGCAGCATAATGTCAGGGATCAGGGCTGAACTATTATAGCACAGTGGATTAGCATCCAAGGAGAGGTTCCTCTAAGTTGGACTACCCAGGGTTCTCTGAGTATTCATTCTCTGGCAGCCATGCCACTCAGGCCGTAATAGCTACGTAATTCTGAGGGATAATTATGAATTAGAACATGGTAAAATCCACGATGGATGAGCTCATTTTCTGGGTGTGCTATTTGAGCACATTATCTCAACTATATTGACAAGCAAAACCTCTAAGAAAGAATAGGGCTTTTGTTTCTAATTGATTCCAACTTGACTCTGTTGTGGTTGTCATTCCATTGCACACCATGACCAGCACAGCTTGATCAAGCGTGGGGTTACCGGGATGGTAAACTTTCCTACATCATGAAGCCAGACAGCATAAACATTACCTTTTACTGGCAGTACAGGATGGGTGTGGGGTATATATCATTCAGTACCCCACTGTATCTTCAATATCAATGTCACAAAAGGAAATGTCTATGGGAACATCCAGAAAACTGAACACAGGCATGGACTTTTAAAAGTCCAGTCTGTTTCTACAATAAACAAATTAGATTAGTTTTATCCACAACAGAGTAACAGTTTTTAGGAAAATAGACAAGTAACTTCCTATGTGGTAATTCAATGGTAATTAATTTGTTAAAATTAGTCAAACATTAATTAACCAATTAATTTTCATAAAATGAGTCAAAGTGTGGATCCTTTTGCTGCCAGGAAGAAAGAGGCACAAACCTGACTTTTGTCAACCTTAGACCGTTTTCAGGTTTTTCTCAGAATAAACCTCTTCAGAATTGGTTTCTTCTTTAAAAGAAATTCTCTTAATTGGATTGTGGTTAATTAGAGTAGCAACATGACCAAAAAGCAATAGATCTGCATTGATTGAAGCATCTCAAAGAAATCACCACAAAAAATTACCTGGAGTTTGGGGCTGATTAGAGATTCCTTCCCTTGGTACGCTATGGAGATTGTACTTACTGTTGTTCAGAGTGCATTTTGGTTCTGTCTGTCCATGAGCAGAGGTGTGCGCTTTGATTCCTCAGAGAATTCTCCTCAGAGATTTAGAGGGCTGTGCTCCTCCTGCTAAGACAAGTTCATTTCATTAATGCCGTGGGTTTTCCTTTTTAGAAGTAAATGTAAGAAAACAGTTTGGCAGTTCCTCAAAAGGTTAAACATAAAATTACTGTAAGACTCCTAGGTATATAAACAAAAGGACTGAAAAGAGGTACTCAAACACTCGTACATGAATGTCCAGAGCGGCATCATTCACAATAGCTGAAAGGTGGAAACTATCCATCAGTGAATGAATGGGTAAACAAATTGTGGTATACACATATAATAAAATATTATTTAGTCATAAAAAAGGAATGAAGTACTGATACATGGTACAATGTGGATGAACCTTGAATACGTGTTAAGTGAAAGAAGCCAGATAGGAAAGGTCACATATTGTATGAGTCCATTTGTATGAAATATCCAGAATAGATAAGTTTATAGAGACATAGAGCAGACAGGTTGCCAGAATCTAGAGGTAGTTAGGTATAGGATGTCTTTATGGGGCAATAAAAATAGTTTGGAATTTGATATGAATGGTGGTTGAACAATATTGTGAATGTACAAAATGGCACTGAATTGTTCACTTTAAAATGGCTAAATTTTATGTTATGTGAATTTCACCTTAATAAAAAGAATTTTAAAATAAATGTAAAACAGCACTTTATTCAATGATTTGCATGAAGTACTATACAACTCAGAATATCCTTCAGTCCAAGGCAACAGGATTATAAACTATAGGTAGAGAAACAATTGTTTGCACCAGTTCCTGACAATAAGAAGCCACTTCAGCAACATGTAACATGCCAAATTCATTAAGAGAAGCAGGATAGATCACCAAGGAGAGAAATGATACTGGGTCCTCTTATTTGTTGGCAGCTGTTTCAAATAGAAGAGCCATTTATCTCTCTGACAGCTACAGAGCTTGAGATTAAAGTTTTTCATGCTTTATAAAAATGTATTTCCAATAGAAATTTGCTATCCTTGTTTTTATGAAAAGAAATCTTGCAATTAGTGATCTGCAAAATAAAAATGACCTATTTCTGCTCATACATTTCATTGCATTTAAATTCTTAGTGCAAAGATAAAGCCAAGATTTCTGTACTTCTCAGGGTCAGGGGGTGTCAGAATTGCCATTCACCATAAACTCAGAGGGGCAACAACAATAATTAAGAGGGAAACAGACCCCATGAGAGTTGGGGGGGG